CAGCTCCCCCTGTCCCGCCCCGAGCCCCGTGGCAGCTCCCGGGTCGCTGCTCAATCTTCTGGGAGTGTCGCTGGGGCAGATTGACCTGCTGCCCTATGCTCCATGACGGGGCGGGGATTCTCACTGGGCCCAGAGACGGCCCGCTCAGCGCCCCCTGCTGGCGTCCCCAGGCGGTACCTCTGAATGACCATGGCCCGGCGGTACAGCAGGTCGGGGTCCGTCCCTTCCAGGCGGGGGTAGCGCACCAGGCTGGCCTGCTGGAACGTGTCCGCGCTGAGCCCCAGCTCCCGCTGCCGGGACGACTTGATCTTGATCCCTCGGAGACGGACGTCGATCCCGTCCTCTGCTGAGAAAGGGACGGCTGATCCAGCAGGCCAGGAGCGCCCGGGCCGCAGACACACCCGGGGGCGCCCGTCCCATCCTGGGGCAGCCTATTCCCTATCGGAGGGCCCAGGACATCGCACCTGGCGCGGGGCGAGTTTGAACTAGAGACGGAACCGAGTCTCCAAGCCCCAGGGGTGCTGGGACCCAGGCTCGTCTCTATGAAGAGGCACCCCCAGCGAGAGAGAGATGGGGGGGCCTGAGGCTCCTCACCCTCCAGGTGCCCCCCCGGGAAGGGCTGTGGCCTCATCCCTCTTCCCAGCAGCCAGCTGGTCACCAGCCCAGCTCCCTTAGCGGCCAGGCCAAGTAGCGCGAGCGTTCTCTGGGGCCGCTCTCCGGAGCACCCCGCGGGAGAGGGCAGGTGCCCAGTGGGGGAGCGGGACGATCTTGGGGGGGGGGGATCCTCAGAAGCGCCCCCCCCCAATCGTGCAGGGCAGTACATCTCTTATCCCCACCCACCTCTGCACTCCACGATGCGGATCTCGATGACGGGCAGGTGCGTCGTCATGTCCTCCAGCACACACACGTCGCCGATGTAGCTCCTGGAACAACAGCGCGGGGGGATGTGTGTGTGAGTGTGTGTGTCAGAGCTACCCACTCGTGACCCCCCCCTTCCCCCGCCAGCCTCCGTTCTCCCCAGGCCAGAGAAGTGGTGCTGCCTAGTGAGCAGAAGTGAACGGCTGGAGCTAGACCCTGGGGATTCAGCTCCCTGCCCAACAACCGACTTGTCACCCAACCTTGGATGGCGACGTAGGGACCCCACGCAACCGAGTTCAGCCCACAGGGTCCCTTTCAGTCCATGCGTTCTGCTTTTCCAGGACGGTGGGGAGGGGAGCCTGGAACAGGAGGCTGCACAGCAGAGGCCTGGTGCCAGGCCTGAGCCAAAGTAGTGGCCAAAACTTGCTCAGCGAAGGCAAAGTAACGTTGTGCACAACAGGCGAGCCCTGCTCACAGCTGGGCAAAAACAGGGCCGGTGTCGCAGAAACACACCTACGAGTGCGAGGCACAAGCCACGCAAGCACATTCCACAGCAGCAAGGGAACAATCGGACACCGGCTCACCCCCCCCGACAGCAGGGACCCAGCCATCCTAAGGATACAGCCAGGGTGACAGTGCGACAGCAGAGGGGCTTGGATTGACCCGACGTGTGTAAGGGAAGGGGTGGCACCCAGGTGCACCAGGAGCAGCACCTACGTTGTTGGTATCTGTGGATAACGGTGCCTCGCAGCGGGGCTGGCCTTGTCCGGCCTAGGGGGCAGGAGAAAGTCCTGCCGCTGGCTGCGCAGAGTCCAGTCAGGGGACACATGCTCTCAGCCCCCTCGGAGTCAGCCGGGCGCTAGTACTGCTCTTCGATTGGCAGTAGCCCTGGCTGGGGACCGTCGCCCCTTCTCTGACTCTGTGCTCATTGGGCAGGTTGTCCGAGGGCGGCTTCGCCGGCTGACTGCGCAGAGCCGAGGAGGCACACGCAGGGAACACACCCGCAGCCAGCAGCAGACAGACCATCACGTGGGTAACGACTGTCAACACACACCCTTCTCTGCCAGGGCTGCACACACCTTCCCCCCGGCTGTGAGCTCTCTGGGGCAGGGCCTGCCCCGTGGCCCCGTTTGTACAGGGCTGGGCCCTCAGCTGGGGCTGGCGGGGGTTCCCCCACCGCTCAGAGCTGCCGGCGGCGTGACCACATGGCAGGGCCCGGCGCCTCTCGCTCTCCCTCTGCCCCTCCAGAGGGAGGAACAGGCCCGGCGCT